GGAGGGCTGCTGCCCAGCTTGCACCTGGCACAAGCACTGTAGCCAGATTGTGCCCCTTTAAGGGCTCCAGGGCTGGGAGCGGGGCAGAAGAGTTTCCCTGTTTATGCCCCGAGTGGCCACCAGGGCAAGCTGGGAAGGGCTAGCTTCCAACTAGTTTGAATTAAGTGGCTACACAGCCCTTAATTCGAACTACTTAATTCGAACTAGGCGTTAGTCCTCATAGAATGAGGTTTACCTAGTTTGAATTAAGTTTGAACTAGCGGTTTGCATGTGTAGCGCCTATGAAAGTTAATTTGAACTAACGGCTGGTAGTTCGAATTAACTTTGTAGTGTAGACATACCCTGCCCTATGTGGAGGCAGGGAAAAGGGAATAAGGGAATTTATGTGCAGCCATCTTGGTCTTGGTAGCAAGAGAGCAAGAGTCAGGCTATGTTTGTGGCCTGACAACGCGAGAGCTGTAATAAGACGCTGCCTTCGCCTCTCGCCTCCCGCCTCCATACGGAGAGGGGAGGAAGGGAAGGGAAAGCTCAGGGTTGGGGATAGAACGCTGACTCTGGCAGGGATCTTGAGCAAAGGAGCATCTGGGTGGAACTAAAATAACTGTTAGCCACTGGTGTCTGTAATGAGAAGCAGACTAATTGTTTAATGTTATTATATCTAATGGACAGTATATAAACTGCTTCATAATTGTTTGTATTCGACGATCTGCCTAGCAGCAGCTTCTTCCCTTGCAATATTGCTCGAATAAACTGTCTCTGACTACTTGTTGCTCACAAACACAGAGTGAAGTCTGGTTTTCTAACACACCTATGAAGAAGCTTTCTAATTTCTATTTCTTAAGTTGTTCTCATGGCTCTTCTCTGAATCCTCTCCAATTTTTTGACATCTTCCTTGAATTGTGGGCATCAGAATTGGACATAGTGTACTAGTAGCAATTGAATCAGTGACAAATAGAGGATAATAGAAGAGGTAGCAGGTGCAAAAAAGCTTGTAACTTTAAATCAAACATACATCAGTTTAACGAATAAGAGCAACAAAAATGATGAAGGGGTTGGAACGGGTCGCATATGAAGAGAGATTTAAAAGACTTGGACTTTTCAGCTTAGAAAAGAAGAGACTAAGGGGGGATATAATAGAGGTCTATAAAATCATGACTGGTGTGGAAAAAGTGAATAAGGAAAAGTTATTTACTTATTCCCACGATATAATAAGTAGGGATCACCAAATGAAATTAATAGGCAGCAGGTTTAAAACAAACAAAAGGAAGTTTTTGTTCACTCAGTGCACAGTCAACCTGTGGAACTGCTTGCTGCCAGAAGATGTGGTAAAGGCTAGGACTTTAACAGGGTTCAAAAAACAACTAGATAGATTCGTAGAGGTTAGGTCTATCAATGGTTATTAGCCAGGATGGGTAAGAATGGTGTCCCTAGCCTCTGTTTGTCTGGAAATGAGTGACATGGGAGGGATCACATGAGGATTACCTGTTGTGTTCCCTCACTCTGGGGCATCTGGTAATGGCCACTGTCGGCAGACTGAATACTGGGCTAGATGGACCATTGGTCTGACCCAGTATGGCTGTTCTTATGAGTAAAGATGCCAGGAATACAAAGGAGATGAGGCATAACACATCCCTCATATATTGCTTGTACCTTGACAATATTTTGAGGATGAGAGAAATCACAAGACTGATGGTTCATTACCCCTGGATAAAAAAATTATCAGTTATAAGTTTCTCTTTGAGCCAACAAACCAGCTAGACAATACTGTAAAAAAACAATCATTGCTATATTTATTTATTTCACGTGGCTCGTCAATAAGTAGGCCAAATTCCATTTTTTTGTCACTGAAAATGGCTCTTCTCTGAAAAGTAGTTATTTAAAGTACATTGCAGGGCTCCTAATATTAAAATTCATCTTAAACTGACACATAATAATACATGATATGTTGCTAGAAAAAATAAGTTTTTTTTTTTTTTTTAAATCAAGACATTTGCATTTTTGAAAGTATTCCAGTTTTGGAAAATAATTGCAAAATTTCCTTTGAACCCAAAACATAATGTTTTTATCATTCTTATTTCTTAAAGAAACAAATCCGTTTTTGTTTTAAATATGAAAAATGTTGCACTTTGGATTTGTGGCAAATATACATTTTCTGGAATGTTTCTGAAAAATCGTATTTCCAAAACGTAAAAATGGCCCAAATCTAATTGGCAATTTAGGTAATTTTTGTACAGCTGTTTGTACAATGCTCAGTGGTATTAACAAGGCACTATTCATCCGGGATGCACTGTGCAGGCAGATGCCTGAAACCTAATGAACCCCACTGACTTCACAGCTGGCTGTACAATGCAGCGGAGTTAACACTGCTGCGAGTATCTTAACTTTTATATTCTAGAGTAGTTTTGGGAGGGTGTTTAGAAAAAGGGGGGAAAAGCCACACCAGCACTTACTGCCTGGCACATTCCTTTACATCAGGAGTAGCCAACCCGCAGCTCGCAAGCCGCAGGTGGCTCTTCAAAGGAAAAATTGTGCCTCCCATACCCGCAACTGTTCTGCGTTCCCCTGCTCTGACCTTTTTTCCTTGTCTGGTCAGGGTGCTGCTACAGCCGATGGAAGCCTGCTCGGGCCACATGTGGCTGTTAAAGGAGCAGCTTTTTTTGTTGTTGTTTTTTGGCTCAACAACTTCTTTACCTTGGCTCTTTGCACTGTATCCACCACTATTTTCATTCTTTGTTTGTAATGCATTGGCCTGTGAGACAGGGCGAGGCAGCCGCACACTGAGCCTGCAGGGCCCGGCCCCTCCCCCGCAGCCCTACCAAGCATGCTCGGGCGGTAGCTCTACTATAAAAGCCTGGGGAAGGACTCAGTCAGGGGTGGCAGCCGGAGGAGAAGGACCTGGTGAAGGGAGCTCCCGCACAGCTGTCACCAGAGACTCCAGAAGAGGCCGGTGGGGATGCAGAGACGAGCTGGTGCATCCCAGAGACTGCCTGCTGAGGAGACGCCAGCCCAGAGGGTGCAGCAAGCTGGACGAGTACATGGGGAGAAACCCCAGTGAACCATGTAGGAAGTGGCCCAGGGCAGGAGCGGGAACCTCCTCTCTTGCCCCGAGAACCTCGGCGCGTTTTGGCCAGATTGCCCCGCCGAGGGAGTGACACACTATCCGGTCACTCACAGGGCCCTGGGCCGGGACTCAGTGGAGTAGGGTGGGCCCAGGTCCCCCTACCTGGGGTGCGTCCCCGCTACAACCCTGAACTGTGTTTTGGGACTAAGGCCGGTGGGCCTTGGCCTCGCCTTATAGGGCCAGATTTAAACTGTGTTTCGGACTCAGGCCGGAGGGCCTTGGACTTAAGAGGTCCTGCGGGAGTGGCCCGCCACAGCCACCCCTGCTTTAAATACATTGTTTATGCACACTCACTGCAACATGTGGGCACTTAGCATCACCTTAGCAATATTTGCAAAAATGTACATGGGTGCTTCCAAGGAACCATCCAGGGAGCAACGTGAGGACCCATTCTTCACTGAACAAAACAGAAACAGTTATTAGTTACCCTCCTCTGCCAAAGCAGACACAACCCAAGTGGTATATACCTAAGGACTCACCTCTCAGTCAAGGAAGCCTAGGAACAATTTGTGAATTAGCTCCCTAGTCAGCTACTTTACATTTTCTGAACTCTGGGGGACTTTATTCTGGTGGGCCATAGAAGAAGTGGTCAGGAAATCTGAATTGTGTGTGTGATTTAAAGATCACAAATTTTAAAAAAATACCACTAAGGGGAAAATAAGAAACCTTTAGGGCTTGCTAGAGGATAGAAGGGTCCAGGCTAGAAGGTAGCAATCAGACTTTGCATTCTGTTTGGTATCTTTTAAGTGGGCAAACGACAATGTGTTTTGTGTTAAAACAGAAGTGAGCAGACACTACCACAGTGAAGGCAGCATGATTAAGATGATGCTGAAAAAAGCAAAACAGGAAATGTAATCTTTTTGGGTAAGAGGGGCCAACCTAGGGAAGAATCAGGAGTTATAGTGCAGATGTATTCTAGAAATGGTGCGAATAGCTTTGAGGGGCACCACATTTGTTTTTGCTTAATGACTACTCCTCAAATTCATTCACTTTACAAATAGGAACTATTTTTTCCTGATTGCCAACACTGTAAACTCAGACCGGAAATTGAAAGTGTCACTAGGTTCTTTATGGCTTTGAGACAGTTCTGCCCTTGAAACTCTATTGGAGACATGCAAGTCAGAAGAGTCTAGCTGGGCTGTTCTGACTCAGTGTTTACAAAGAATGTATCTGCTGCTTACCAGCCACAGACAGGATGAAATACCAGCTCTGCTGAAGTCAATGGCAAACCCCTGCTGACCTCTGCAGAGCCAGGATTTCATTTACACTCTGTTTCTCAGACCATAATTTCATTTTAAGCAAATAAAGTCTGACTTTAAACTCTCCCTTCTCCAATTCCCCCCCCCCCCCCACCCCT